ATTATCTGAGACTTACAAACAAACAAAACCAAACTTACTGTGTTCTTAAAGCAATGGATAACTATGTTTTTAAAAAAGAAAGATAGGCCAGGCGGTGGTGGTGCACGCCTTTAATCCCAGCACTCAGGAGGCAGAGACAGGCGGATCTCTGTGAGTTCGAGGCCGGGCTGGACCGACAGCCTCCAAAACAATACAGAGAAACCCTGTCTCGTAAAACAACAACAAAAATAAAAAATAAAAAAGAAAGATCTATGCCACCAATGGATTCAAAGTCCTATCCACCCCCATTGCAGACAAACCTACTGCCCTTACTCAATTCCCCAATGACTGAAGCCCCTCCCTAGCTGCTAGCACTTCTCCTTGTCCAAAAGTGCTGGCTTTGACATGGGTTCATATAGTGTAAATAACATTTCCCCATCTGCATAGACAATGTTCCCTCCAAGAGCCAAGACCATCTAACAAACACCCCAACACCAGGTATGAGAAACCCTATTTTGAAACATTGGTTAGGGTCATCCAAGAGACTCCCAATAGCTATTGCTATTGCCCTCAGTTTCCCCAAGTGGCGAATGGGTAAGTTCCTATTGCTGAAGACACCATGCACTTCAGACACATGGCCCAGAAGACCCAAGTTGGATCTGCCCTGAAAGCCTCCTCACTGAGGATTAGCTTTCATGGTACCAGAAGGTATCTTGCAAACTTCCAAAGGAGGGAAGCAAACAACAGTCCTACTCAGCTATGAGACCTATGAACTACAATGATCAGCATGGCACAATAACTCCCAGAATGCACTAGTGGCACACATACCTTATTGGTAAACAGCAGTTCTCTAATTGGACTTTTAAGACCCATTCAACAAGAGGGAAAGCATGCCTGATATTGGAAACCTAGACAATGATCCAGGGCTAGTGAAGTCATGGACCCTGGAGAAAAACCTATAACTGCTACTTTACTAAATCAACTATATTCTAAACATCTGTCCTTATAGCTATACATAAGTGTCATCCTCATCCCTCATGCAAACTTCTCTTTGCAAAAGATGAAAGCTATTACAGAAAAACCATAACCAATCAAAATGCAGAGTTGTAAAACCCTGCCCCAACTGATCTATAACCCAACCCAATTCCTTCATGTAAGACACTGCCGAGTCCTCCAAGTAGGGCTGTGGGAGAGTCCAGCCAGCCAGTCTCCTTCCTCCCAGGGCTGGGCAGGATGGTGAGTGTCAAAGGACTCAGACTCCTCCCTCCTAGTTACCGGAGAGAAAATACACACTGAGTCAGGAGACTTGTCGAAGCAGTGTCTCTCTTTATTGCATCAGGCAGGAACTTATATAGGGTTGAGAAAGTGGGTGGGGACCTCAGGATGGAGTGAGGTGTAAGGACCAATAATATTTCACCACATTAGCAGTAGCTGGGCAGAGGTAGTTTTGCTGAGACAGGTGGCCAAACTCTAGCCAAGCTCAGAAAGTTCTACTAGGCCTTGTGTCCGGGCCTTTTTAGGCCCAACAAGGCTCAGGGATCATTGCTAAAGACAGGCAGAAAATTGTAAGAGCCAAAGGAACAGGGTTTTCTGAGAGATGTGTCTCCTAGGAACATCAGAAGCTGCAAAATCTCAGCAACACAGACTCCTAAACCTGACTACAGAAGGAGGACACCAATAAACATGCTAAAGTGGATAAGGGAAAAAGCTAATGAGGCTGCAACCCTACATAAAGAGCTACAGGCAACTCAGGAATGCTGAGAGTGGGGAAAATAGCCTTCCCCAGGGAAGAGCACACCAAGTAGTTATACCAAATGGTCAGCTATGAAAACAAGTAACAATATACAGACTGACCAGGATATATTTATATATTTAGTAATATATACATATGCACATATGCACATGTGTAACAACAATTTATGAAAAAATGAGGCTGTGAATTTAAAAGAGAGCAAGGAGGGGTATATGGGAGTGTTGGAAGGAGGGAAAAATGGAGAAATGATACGAATATGTTATAATCTAAAAGATAAAACATAAAAAATACAATTATAGTTCACCTCTACTATTTCTGTTTTAAAGAGATGACTCCATATTCAGCGGATACCACCAGGTTCTAGGAATTCAGCTGCTCTCTCTAGTATTTGCTACCTTATACACCCATAGCAGAAGGTATGGTCAATTTCTTCCCACATGTTTGGGGAGAAGTTAAATTCAGAGGGACCATACAATTTTTCCAGATCTGTAGGTATTGAATGAACGGTAGAAGACTTATTTGGATTGGGGGCTAGGATTATGTACCCGTAAGAGTTTTCCCTCTCTGAAGTTTTTCTCTACCACCCTATGCCCCATCCTCAGCAGCAAGCAAATACAGATCACAGAGTGCTCATTTTCCTTCAGCTTCTCTTGCGACACCCCAACAGTGGCATTCACGCATTAGAATAGGAGATAACTGTGAAACTCACTTATGAAGTGCCTACTATTTACCAACAACTGGGTTGATGTTATGAATACGTTATTAATAAAACATTTTAGTTTCTAAAATTATCTCACAGGGTTAACTATTTTATTTTTTGATGGGGAAGTCCTGTGTATATGTCATTAAAGCACTGTTGGCCAATAGGGAAGCAAGATAGGTGGGACTAGGAGTTGAGGAGTACTTTGGGAAGGAGAAACACAGGGAGTCAAGATGTAGCTGCCATAGGGGTAACAAGTTCGGAACTTTTCTTTGGTAAGAGAAATACTTAGATTAACAATTATGGGGTAAATACTTAAGTCAGAGCTAGCCAATAAGAAACAAGCAAGGCCAACAGCTTCATAATTAATATAGCGTCTTGTGTGTTGTTTGCAGACTACAACGCGGCAGAGCCCAGGCAACTGGTGGGGAAAAACCAAAGCGGCTGGAAAGGAAAAGACTTCTCTCTACAATTTTTTGCTCCTACATTTTTGGGAAGAAATTAAGCTCAAAGGGATTACATGATTCGTTCCATATCTATAAGCAATAAAAGAGAAGTAGAACCCAAATTATCATCACAGAGCCTTTACCCACTAACTAGTGAAAGCAGATGCAGAGATCCACAGTCAAGCATTGGGCTGAGATCCTGGAGTCCTGAAGGGAGGAGGGACTGTATGAGCTAGGGGACCAACATCATGATGGAGGAACCCACAGAGACAGCTGACCTGAGCTCATGGGAGCACATGGACTCTGGACCAACAATTAAGGAGCCTCCATGGGACCAACCTAGGGCTTTTGCATGTGTGTGACAGTTGGGTAGTGTATTCTTTTTGTAATGCTCCTAGAAGTGAGATCAGGACCTGTCCCCTGGTGCATAGCTGGCTTTTGGGAACCTATTCCCTCTGCTGGATTACCTTGTCTAGCCTTTATGCAGGGGGAGGAGTTCGGTCCTGCCTCAACTTGATGTGCCCTGCTTTGTTTATGCTCGTGGGTGGCTTGTTGCCCCTTTATGAATGAAGATGGAGGATGAGTGGATTGGGAAGAGGGAGAGGTGGGAGTTGGGGGAGGGAATGAGAGGAGAGGAGGGAGGGAAACTGTGGTCAGTGTGGAAAATAAATGAAAACTGTTAATATAATAAAAGAGCAGCAGAAGCAAGAGTTGGATTTGGGGCAGGGATTTTATTGCCCATCTTTAAGGGGGCTAAGGCTGGCCACAGCCATGCCACCTTTACAGAAGTGCACCACTCTCATAAACATTTTATTTCATGAACCTCCTTGCTGTCCTAACTACTAAAAAGTGTTAAGCCTCTCAGCTCTCAGTAGAAATGTGGCCTTATTAATATAATTTATTAATATAAGTTATATTAATATGTATATGTTTGTATGTGGGTGTGTCATAATAAAAGCCTATCACAATGCAATAGATGACTTAAGAGTTATATACGTACATGTAAGCACTGACTTGTAAGTTTCAAATAAAAACTAAAAATACCAAATTAAAACAGTAGCAGCAATAAGTTTCCTCTTCCTTTCTCATCTACAGAGTAGAAAAGAAAGCTTAAAGTTTCCATTGCCAGTTGCCAGCAATCTCTGAGTCTGCAGAGACTGACTCCTTCAGGAGAAAGCTAGGCAGCAGATTTATATTCCAATTGTGTATTTCGTTTAGCGAGTCTTGAGAGTGGCAGACTCTCACTGACTTCACATGACTTCTCGTAAAGCTTTCTCACAGCTTATCCTAAGCCACATGGCTTATGGGGCTGCCTGTACAGCAGTCCAGACCCTTTTGTCTCCACCACACTGGAACCATCCTCTTGAGCAGCTTCAATGTTGCAAAGATTGTAGAAGCCACGGCCCAAGACTCTCAGTCAACATTCTTACAGAGCTTACATAATCTTTTGTGTCATAAGCATTGACACAAAAATAAGCCAAACAGTACTGCACAGCCTGGTGTGCCTTTCAGGAACATTTTTTAGAATATGTACATGAATCTGTTGTTTCATACACTAAAAAGCAATGAATAAAAATCCTGTCGCTCATCTTAAGCTTTAACATAAATTCGTTTTTTACAAATCTGGTTCACATATTTAGTTTTAAAGTTTATCTTCGTATCATCATTCTCATTTATTTTTATTAAGATTATGATCAAGGAATAAATTTTTATTTTAATTTTATATAGATTCCTTTTTATATGACTAAATCTGTACTTTTAAATGCTGTTTCTTTCAGATGAGACTGTAACTTCTTACACCCAAAGAGGATGCTATCTCTACAGTTTATATACAGCTTGTCAGTCACTCATGGAACTTAAATACCCCACATACATTTATTACATTATTATATGTGTGAAAGATTATACACAGTATGAGAAATATCACCTAAATGGAAAAAAAGCAGTCTTCTGCAAATATCAGTTCTTAATGGGAGGTTTCTTGTCAATCATTACAATAAACAGTATTCCTTGACTACTTTCAGTTTTGCTGAATACCACCTACTTATAACTACCATGATTCAAGATATCTCAATTTTCCCAATTTGTTTATTTTAGTTGAAGATAAGAACGATTTACCAACCTCCATCCATCCTTCTGAAGATAACTGAAGGCTCCATCAATGACACTTGCAAAAAACTGTCCCCCTGTGATGAAGAGAGTATTGATGGTGACCAGTCGACCTCTCAGATTGGGTGGAGAAACCTCTGCAATGTACACGGGCACTGTCATGGACGCAATGCCTGCAGTGAAGAATCAAAGTAAACATGAGACATCTGTACAGTCTCTGTTGTCACTACACGTAGCCGCGCTAGGTTAACACACACACACACACACACACACACACGCACGCGCGCACGCAAGCACGTAGAGATAGGCCTTTACTGTGAACACATGTTATTACATGTTCAAGATTTTTGTTTGTGACTGATATTGTATGCAAGTAAAGAAGTATGTGAGGTTCTGATCTCTGAATATTGTTTTTTATACTATTATTTAAATTGATTTATTTTTAGTTTATTTCGTGAGGTATTATGTAGCTAGTCATGAACACAGTAGGTAAGTACAAATGGTCTTGAACTTCTGATCCTCCTGCTTCTACCTCTCAAGAGCTCAGCTCACACTGTCATTTGAAAGCCCACATACAGGAGTACATCAACAGTTCTACAATGGCATTATAGGCATAAATATGCCTTATAGTTTTATAGACTAGAGATATAAAATTATACGCTAGAAAGAATGATGTAGTTGCTAAACTATTTTAGTCTATATGGAAATGTCATCAGATAACAGTGAGAGTGAAACACTACTCAATAATTTATAACAACTATTCAAAGTCTTTATTTAGAAGACACATACCAAATCTTTAAGTTGGTCTACTGATGACTGTCTTATTAAGCCATGACATTCAGTTGCCCAGTTGTGTATTTCTGAGGTGGCTCTGAAAAGCAGATGATCTTATATTAAAAAGAAAAGTGTTATGGGGCTGGGTGGGTGGTCATTAAAGTGCTTCTATTGTTATTTATAGAACTTCAAGCTTTATGTCTCTGGATATTATAAATCAATCCCTAGATTAGATAGAGCATCAACACTGTGCGGCAGACCCATGTAGAACTGCTTTTAAGGGACTGGCTTGTCTTGAAGAATGCACCTAGAAACTTGATACTCCCAGTCCAGGGCCCTCGCATTTCAGGACCCCTGAATCTACAACATTCCATATTCAGTAACATCTGTTTGTAGTCAGTGACAGCAATACCAGCATTTCTCAACAAACAACTGATTTTCAGTAGTGACAGAGACTGACCCCAAGGGTTCATGCAGGCTGGGCACCACCACTAAGATATACCCTAGATTCATCACCATTTTTGTTTGTTGATCACCCCCATAAATCACATAGTTCTCTCTCATGTAAGTACCGCAAGCTGCACCCTGCATCTCTAATTCCCTTTCCTTTTCTTCCTTCTCTAGACAGAGGCCTGCTTCCACCCAGGGTTTTGAGCTTCACTAAACTCCCTGCTGATGCCACAGCGGTTTGCAACCTCCTCAGTTGTACCTTTTGTTAAATTTTAATTCGCCTTTTTTCATCTTCCAGTCAGTAACAAACAAATAAATAAATAAATAAATAAATAAATAACAAAAAACCTGGAAAATTCACTATATTAAGGCAAACAGTTAAGCAGTTAAGTTCTCTTGGCGTTCCTTGCTCCTGTATTGTCCGCAGCATATGGAGAGAAGCCTATGACTTTATAAGTTTCACAACATAAGCAGAAGGGGTATTAAACTAAATCATCACCATGTTATTACTGCAGCACAGACTATTCTGAAATGCCTTCTGTGGAACTTGGAAATACACATTTTCAACAAATGTTAACAAGTGTTAATTGTACCTTCTCCTCATTTCTTTGACTACGGAACCATCTCCATAAAATTTCACAAATAAGCACTAATTTATGATTACCTATACTGCTTTAGGTATCAACAGCCATTCCATTTCTCTCTTAGCCAGAGATCTGCCTTCAGCCACATAACCTGCTATACTTGGGAGATCAGAACCATACATTTAAGCAATGTATGCTGGTTTTCAAACTAGAGATTTTTACATGACAAGAAATGTAGACACATCCTCAGGTCTTTAGAAAGCTTGATGGCTTAAAATGAATACCAACATGCTGAAGGTGACAGATGATTTCCAAGAAAAAGACCAGAGATCTAGAAAACCTCTAGAGCCATTGATAAGTAGAGTTAGAAAGAGTCCCCCAAATCCATCCAGTGATTGATAATGCTCATTTAGTACAGCTGTTAAAACTGCCTAATTCTGTTAGGTGTATTCCTTGTCTTGATTATAGCCCTTATCCTCAGCTCATCTCTACTGAGAGCATGTCATTACCCCACTTCACGCAGGACATTACCTCAGATATTGCAGTGAGTCAAAGAACCTAGCAGATGCCAGAACCCAACTTTCATGGCACACACTAAACTGGCTTATCACCACAGATGACAGTAGACTGAGGAACCATGGCTTCCAATACCTACTATGCCAGTTACAAGCTGTGTAAGTCAATAGAAGTTATTCAACCTCTTTGGGTCTCCAATGCCTCGCCTATAGAAGGAGAAAATTAAAAGTCCTTCAAAGATATTGAGAAATCTCAATGGATTAACTGAGTAAAGCATTTAAATACAGAAGGTAGTCAGTACCAGCCACTATCAAATTTAAGTACAAGATAAAGGCAGAGAAAGGTGGACTCAGAAGCGGCCTATGAGGTATGCAGCAGGTGGCAAGCATTGCTCTCTGAAAATGCTGGGGCATAAGTTAGCTACATGTAGTCTTTCTGCATCCATCTTGTCCTGCTCAACTCAGAGTCTGCCAAGACAAGTAGCCTCTTTCCTTTTTCACCCATCATGAGAGAATTTGGCCTTGTCAGCTTAGTTTGCAGGTTATCATCATTCTAGACATAAAAAGGGGGAAGATAGAAAACTACAGTAGGGCAAAGTAAACCTGGTTTATGGAGAGAGAGGACCAGACCAAAAAAACAAACCAAACCAAACCAAAACAAAAAACAGCAGGAGGAAGTTTAAGGAAGACAATGGGGTGGGTCTGGGGAAAAAATGCAAACCTGTGACACAAGAGACTCAGCTTTGAGGGCAGTTGTGGGGGTGACAGATTTTAAGAGCTGCTAAGGTACAACCTACATGCTGTTCTGTGCAAGGCAGAGACTGGTTTTCAAAACTTGAGATGTCTTTCAGTTGCCTGACAACATTTCTTTAAATTCAATGAGACTAGGTTAGAAAAAGCTGGAAGTCACACAATAGTGCTCCTAAAGTGGCTGTGTGAACAATACAGCTAAATGTGACTACAGCAGTGGGTCACGCTCAGAAAGTCTGCATTTAGGGCACTATTGGATGGAAAGGGAGAAGGTGAACAGTAAATGTGCACCTGCCTTGCCCTTGAATTCCACAGGCTATTCCTAAAAGGCATCCTATTAACAGATACGTGGATATTGCAGAGCAAAGACATCAAGTTGCAGAGACAGACACAAAGCTCTGTTTCATTTTTCCAAAAATAACATGGATGCTAGCGTCCAAGTGGTTTCAGAGGCGCATATCCTAAACTTCTGTTAAATGCTCTTCAAGGCAAAGGGACACACTTCTGCTTAGAATCCAACCCTTAGGAAACACCTCAGAAACATTTTATCTCTCTTCCCACTCCCTGCTCCCTGCTGTGTGACCTCCTGCCCCCAGGTTTCATGTTAAAGGAGTAGGTCAATCTGTAGGAAAATGGGAACTGAGTACAATGACTGTGTTATTGTGAGCCAGACAAATTAAAGTCTATGCAGGCTATGGCTATACGAAACTGGAGATGGAGGAGCATGATGGTCACTCCATTCACTGTGTTTAAATGTTCACACATCAGACACAAGTCTTGCTAATCAACAGCCAGCAATTAACAATAACAACTCATGCAAGCAGCTGATTTATGGATCCCCAAACACAAAACTCCGTCCTGAAAATCCCCAGACACTAAGCTATTATTAAGTCATCCTAAAACTCCTTTCCACTCTTCAGAAATCAATAGATATCGGTCCAGAGACAAATCTCACTGTTCTAATGAAGGATTTCTAAGTAAAACCAGCAAATATGAGGGTCTGTATGAATCACTCATGTGTTTGAATAGCTCAGCTATAGATTTAAACAAACTGCAAGAGTATTCATTCACACAACATCTATTGTAAAGGCAATGTACCGAGGTTCACATGTCTATCCTGTTATAACTCAAAGATGATAGCCTAAGATTTCCAAAATTAAGAGTTAGATGTTTCTTACCAACGGGCAGTGGTGGCGCAAGCCTTTAATCCCAGCACTCAGGAGGCAGAGGCAGGCAGATCTCTGTGAGTTCGAGGCTGGGCTGGACTGACAGCTTCCAAAACAATACAGAGAAACCCTGTCTCGTAAAAACCAAAAAAATAAAAAATAAAAAAAAGTTAGATGTTTCTTAAGCGTATGGGGCAAAACTTTTAGGATCATTCTATGAAAAACTTTATTTTTCCCTCTATTCGAATCATTAACTATATACAATCAATATCTAATACAATATCACATTTTATTTTTACTTGTGAGTGTTTATGTGGTATATGCCTGGGCACATGTTTGTGTGTGTGCTCATGTTTGTGTGTGTGCACATAAGGAGGCCAGAGTCTGAGGTCAGGTGTCAACTGTCTTCACCTAAAGCGCCCACAGTTTTCGTTTCTTTTTCTTTTTCTTTTTTTTTTTTTTTTTTTTTTTTTTTTTGAGACAGGGTTTCTCTGCATAGCCTTGGGCCTTGCCTGTCCTGGAACTCACTATGTAGACCAGTCTGGCCTTGAACTTAGAGATTCACCTGTTTCTGCTTCCTGAGTACTGGGATTACAGGTGTGTTGTACCACCACCACCTGGCACTCTAGTTTTTTTTTTTTAATGAGACATTTTCTTATTCACAGATTGGCTAGACTAACTGGCCAGTAAGCCGCTGGAATCACCCTCTCCGGCACTAAGATTATATGTCCTGCCACACAGCTTCTCTGCATGAGTACTAGAGGTCCAAACTCAGGTCTTCAGTATATATAGCAAGCACTACTGACTAAGTCATTTTCCAAGCTCTGCCCCATCATCCTAACTTTAATAAGTGCAAATGAAATGGATGAGGTTAACATGAAGAGTTAACAGTACAAGCATCAATAGCTTTCTAGAGTAAACATAACCAGAGAAA